GCTTGGCTGGTTATTATCGACGTTTTGTTGAGGGCTTTTCGATCATTGCTTCTCCTTTGACAAAGTTGTTAAGGAAGAATGTGTCGTTTGACTGGGGTGAGGCACAACAGGAGAGCTTTGAGAAATTAAAGGCGGTATTGACTCAAGCACCAATATTGATTCAACCAGAGTCCGGGAAGGATTTTACAGTGTATAGTGATGCGTCACACACAGGACTCGGCTGTGTTCTAATGCAGGAAAGTAAGGTGGTGGCTTATGTATCCCGTCAGCTGCGACCGCATGAGTGTAATTACCCTACTCACGATTTGGAGTTGGCAGCAATAATTTTTGCCTTGAAGATTTGGAGACACTATCTTTATGGAGAGAAGTGTTACATTTTCACAGATCATAAGAGCTTAAAGTATCTTCTGACCCAGAAGGAGCTTAATTTGAGACAGCGACGCTGGTTAGAGCTTTTAAAGGATTATGATTACGTGATTGATTATCACCCTGGTAAAGCTAACATTGTAGCAGATGCTTTGAGTCGAAAGGCGGTAACAGAGTTGAGATCTTTAATGGCCAGGATGAATTTTTATGACGATGTCACTCTGTTAGTAGAATTGCAAGTTAAGCCGACCTTAGTTGATGAGATCAAGGCTAAGCAGCTCCTTGATAGCTCCTTGTTTCCCATCTTTGAACAATTAGAGCAGGGGACAAGCTCAGATTATGCCCTTGATCAGGATGAAGTTTTATGCTTTAAAGGTCGGTATTGTGTGCCTGATGATGCTGAGTTGAGGCAGATTATCCTTACTGAGGCTCATAGTAGTCCATATGCTATGCACCCCGGTGGAGATAAGATGTATCGGAATTTGAGAGAGAGGTATCATTGGGTCGGCATGGAGAAGGACATCTCAAATTTTGTGGCGAGGTGTTTGACTTGTCAGCAAGTTAAGGCAGAACATCAACATCCATCATGTTTGTTACAACCTATCAAGATTCTTGAATGCAAATGGGAGCGTATTACTATGGATTTTGTTACTGGTTTACCTATGACTCCTTCGAAAAAGAACTCAATTTGGGTGATTATTGACAGACTTACAAAGTCAGCTCACTTCATTCCTGTACGGATAAATTATACGTTGGACAAGTTGGCGAGGTTGTATATTTCAGAGATTGTCAGATTGCATGGTGTTCCGTTATCTATCATTTCAGATCGAGATCCGAGATTTACTTCGAGATTTTGGAAGGTGCTACATACGACTTTAGGTACGAGATTGGATTATAGTACCTCCTTCCACCCACAAACTGATGGTCAATCTGAGAGAGTAATTCAGATCCTGGAGGATATGTTACGGGGTTGTGTAATTGATTTTCGTGGTAGCTGGGAGAACTTTTTACCTTTGGCTGAATTCGTTTATAATAACAGTTACCAGACCAGCATTCGTATGGCACCCTATGAAGCACTCTATGGGCGTAGGTGTCGCACCCCGATTTGTTGGACTGAGTTACGTGATAGGAAGACTTTGAGACCCGAGTTAGTGCGGGAGACGGAAGAAACAGTCAGATTGATCCATGACCGTCTGAAAGAGGCATTTGATAGGCAGAAATCTTATGCAGATCAAAGGAGGAAGGATATACAGTTTGACGTTGAAGATCAGGTTTTTCTCAAGGTATCTCCATGGAAGAAAGTATTGAGATTTGGACGTAAGGGTAAACTGAGTCCGCGATTTATTGGGCCATATCGTATTCTGAAGAAAGTTGGACCTGTTGCTTATCAGCTTGAGTTGTTTTCCCATCTTAGTCATATTCATGATGTTTTTCATGTGTCTATGTTAAGGCGATACCGTCCAGATCCAGATCACATCATTCAAGTTGATGAGGTAGAGCTGAGACCTGATTTGTCATATGAGGAAGAGCCCATCTAGATCTTAGAAAGAGATGAGCGAGTTCTTCGGAATAGGCGTATTCCAATGGTCAAAGTTCAAATGGAGTAATCGAGGCCCCTCAGAAGCTACTTGGGAGACATTGGAGTCAATGGAGGCTCAGTTTCCTCAACTATTCTCATAAGGTAAATTTCGAGGACGAAATTTCTTATAGAGGGGGAGAATTGTAACAACCCTTATATTTTCAAAATAATATTTAATTGAAATTGGAGGTTTTAATTGTGAAAATCGGTAAATTATGGGGACTAAATTGAAAGATTTTAAAACTTGGAGCTTGTTTTAGAGTTAAAGAAAATTCAGGGACCAAGCCCTGAATTTACCCAAGAAAGTTAGGTATGTTATGTTATAAACGTGGTTTTCTGTTTCAAAACAGAAAACCACACCTCAATTGCTCCCAAATTCCCTTCCCCCTACACCGGTTTCCAACTTAGATCCCGACGCCGTCCGAATTCTGATCGTCGTTTTGAAATCACCATCGTGTTCGTTATCGAGTCAGGAACAATCCCCTTAAATTAATTGAAGCGAAACGCTGCCAAACGTCGGGAATTTCAAGTCAAAGCTTCGACGTTTTTTTTAGCTCTATCGTCGGGAAAATCTCAAATTCACCGCCGATCGTTGCTCCGTTTACGACACCTCCTGCACCATCGTGTTCCTTGTGCCGTTTCGAGTCCGCCGGTGTCAACCTTGGTCTCCGTCGACGGCGGCGCGTGAGGAGGTGGAGCAGTCAAAGATTCGGCCGAGTTGAAATCGAGCTCTCCGCCGTTCAAAAATTTGAACCGATCTTTGTAAGTATCTCAAAATCGCTCAAAATAATTTTTGTAAATTTTTCCGTAATTTTTAGACCCCCCGGAGGAGGCCTCACGCTCCGCCGCATGGAGAGTGAGTGGCTGAAAACCGGTTTGACCGGTTTTGAACCGGTTTTGACCGGTTTGATCAGTCTGACCTGACCCGACCGACCCGTCCGTTGACCCGACCCGACCGTTGACCGTTGACCTCCTTTGACCAAAACTTAAAATGGCTTTGACCGACCATTAAACGACCGTTAATCTTTTCTGAGTATACCTATTCTGATAGTTTTCGACGTCCCGAATCCGTTTCCGAAGTCTGTTTTGTCAAATTTGAACCCGAAGGCCTCCAAATCGACGGTCAAAGTGGTTGACTTTGACTTTGACCAAGAATTTAAATTTTCAAAAAGACATACTTTATGTTTTTCGACATCCTGATTCCGATTCCGTAATCCGTTTGGCCAAATTCAAACCTGAAATCCTCCAAATTGATAGTCAAACCCTGAAAATGCTTATATACTTAAGAATTTAGCTTTGAACAATTAAGTAAGATTTGAGGCTGATAAATTATTATTGTTTCAAGGTACAAGAGACTCTCCGGATCGTTCGACAGCTCGACCCCTCTCTTCTAGATCAATTAAACCACGTGTGCCAGTATTCACCCGTAAGACCCGTAAATTTTATGATTTTAGAGATTTATTTATGTTACCCATAAGTAATATAGTGTTATTATAAAATAGGTTCGAAAACTGTAGCAGAGCGTGGTGAAACACAATCAGTAGATCTACTATTTGAACCTATTATCAAGGTGTGTTCCCTAATTATTACTAAACTGTTTTATTGGTTTTAATATGAGGTACACTGAGTTCTTTGGTTACTGTTTTATTGATGCACCAATTTAATGTGATGATTTATGGAATTTGTGTCACGGTCCAATTGAACTTTTGGATTGAATTACAATAGTATAGCTCTGATCAAGCTAATAAACAGAATGGGCCTAATGTGACTCTTGGGGCCCCAAGATACATTAGGTTGGCTTCCCTTATTGTGTGCTTAGGGTAAACTATATGGACTTGGACTTACGGGCTTAAGGATACAAGCTATAAAGCTTATCCTTAGGTTGACTTTCTTTTTGTTGTGTGCTTAGAGTAAGCTATATGGAAAATAGTTTTGGAAATTATTGATGGTGTACAAGAAAAGAGTTTAAACTATGATTTTCAAAAGTTAAACTTTTTTATGAATTTATGAGATTTACTGGACTATGATTTGTTTAATGTACCTATTGTGATTTTAAGGTAATATTGGGACACACTGAGCCTAGCTCACCTTTCGAAAATGTTTTTCCCCCTTTCAGATACTGTTGGTTAGATACATCGGTTCGAGCACTTCGAGGATCAACATATCTCTTGAAGTATATCTGATTGTAATGTTTTATCTTGCTAGTTGACTTTATTTTGGTGACATAGACCTTATTTTAAAGTATCGTATTTTAGGATGATGACACTTTTGCTATTACTGTTCGGTTTATTGTGATTTTGATTTTGAAGACCTGTTTTAAATTAATTTATTACTTATTGGTATTATATTTACAAGTTGGGTTTTGATGGTATAATTTATTTCATGGCATTTATAATGTGATTTTACATTGATTGAATAATGGTTTCAGAAAATGTCTTTAAGAATCATAATGTGATCCACTAGACTTAGTCGAAACGCATAGGCCGGGTCTAGGGGGTTACACATCATATTATCTCCATTGCTCTCTCTCTTGTCCCAATAAAACCATCTTTCGCCATTTAAATTTCTTCTAATATTTTGAGCATTAAAGAAGATCCCAATCTCTTCGATGTTGTGTATGATCGACTTACAACTATTTCTATTGTTGTGAGGTATGGAGGCTAGATACAACTGGTGATAAGAAATCCATAGGTCATTCATGTCGAGTAAACTTGGGAAGGATTGGCGTGGAGGACTAAAATCGGATTCGATTCCGGATATTCAGATATCCGATCCGAATTTTCGGATATCCAAATTTTTGGATATTCGATTTTTTCATATCGGATACGGATTATTATTTTAAATATCCGAAATTTTCGGATATCCAAAAATTCGGATCGGATAATATCCGATAATGCACACCCCTAATTGGGACTAGGCCCAACAACTAGGACGAGTCACTTGTGGTGAAGTTAGAGAAAACATAATCATAAACATGTGGCTTACGTGGCACCATAGCTTGCGAACGGCCTTATCTTCAAGCTGGTGTGGTCGATAGAGCTTTGGTCATTTCCATAATATCTGATGGAAATAACACACGCCAACAGTTTCACAATATCACCCATTTATCCTCAACCATGGCTTCTTCAACTCTCTCCCCTGCACAGGCACATCCCAACACTTAATGGCTACTTAATTTGTGCTTTGTAAACTTCATTTTTAAAACTCAAAGCTTGGTGTTTTGTTTTTACCAGCTATGCTCAAGCAGGACTGGCTTGTTCTGCTTATCACGAGCTGCCCTTGTGAAACCAACAAGGACCCAAATGGTCAGAAGGGACAAGGGGATGAAGATCGCTTGCCAGGCCACAAGCATCCCTGCTGATCGAGTGCCGGACATGGGGAAGAGGCAGCTCATGAATCTGCTTCTGTTGGGGGCTATTTCACTTCCCACTGGTTTCATGTTGGTTCCTTACGCAGCTTTCTTTGTCCCTCCCGGGTAAGTTAACTTCTTCTCATCCTCTTTCCTTGTTCAGTTTAAGCAAATCTCATTCTCTCTATTCGATAACAGCGGTGGAGGCGCCGGTGGCGGTACCGTTGCCAAGGATGCCATTGGAAATGATATCATCGCTGCTGAATGGCTCGAGAATCATGGCCCTGGGGACCGAACCTTGAGTCAAGGATTGAAGGTAAATACAAGTGAAATGTTGTTTTAGATTGATCACGCATATATTTTAAAAATTCGAGTTTCGAATCGGGTAAAGGATCCGCCATTGAATACATAGAATGTTAATTACTGTTGAATTTAATGTTGGTAATGCTAAAGAGTAAAGTATGAAATTCCATATTGAGGAGAGAAATGCGTTTAGATGTGTTTATAATTATTTTTTTCTTTCGAGTATTATTTTATTTGTTCTGTCAATATTAACGTCTCGCTTTGCAGTTATATTTCTAACATTTAAAGAAAATTATGTGATTTTTTCAGGGAGACCCGACCTACCTAGTGGTGGAGAAGGACAGAACTCTTGCAAGCTATGGTATAAACGCTGTATGCACTCACCTTGGATGTGTTGTTCCATTCAATCAAGCTGAGAACAAGTTCATATGCCCCTGCCATGGATCTCAGTACAACGATCAAGGACGAGTCGTGCGAGGACCAGCCCCACTGGTGAGCTGAACATATATGTTTATATTTCGGTTATTTCGATTTTATCATGATCATTGATGAGTTTAGAATAAGCCGAATTTGTTATGGTTGTTGGAACAGTCCTTGGCATTGGCTCATGCCAATGTGGAAGATGGGGGAAAGGTAGTCTTTACTCCCTGGACCGAAACAGATTTCAGAACCGGCGATGCTCCATGGTGGGCGTAAGCATCCTCCGCCATCCGTTGGTGGTTTCCGGTATTCAATACTTAAATTCAGCTCATATGTTTTAGCAACGTTGCTAAACATGCTGTACCATAGAGTCTATCCATTTGTGTAATGCAGCTTGTAAGATGCCTCTTGATCAAAAGCAAGATTAAACATGGGCGCATGACACTGATGTTCTTGTTATATGCAAAATTTCTTTTGTTATATATTTATGGGCTGGTTACCTTTATAACATAAATGTGTGCTTGTCAAGAGTAGCTAGTTTCTGAGTTTTGCACAATCATTTGTGGAGTTTTCGCCTCCCAAAATTTTTTTACTAGTGTCCAAGCTAAACATACCAAGAAAGATGTAAAGTCTAATGAGACTACGAGATGAATGGGTCAAACTCTTTTATTCTGGTTCATAGTTTCTCTTGGTTATATGATTCAACAAATCGAGTTTTAAGAAATAGTAGATAGTCTTATCACTACACAAATGTATAACTCTCCAAAATTTTAGTTGCACTTATATTCATCATTGAAGTAATTGGATTCAAGCTTTCCCAACGCTTTCTCATCAAAGGACTCTTAATGTATAAGAAAGAGTATTGTTCGTTTGATAAATTCCTTCCTCTTTATCTATCTGTTGGATATTTGGATTTTTCAAAACTCTAATATACATTCTAGATATAGATTTTACATAGTGTAACAGGAGCATTTATCGACAAAAGAATCACTTTAAGATGATCATTTCATAACTATTGAGAATGAATCTAATCACTTTAAGGGTGTTTATTATATGCTTGAAGCATGTCCAATCCTCGTTTTCATATTTTTTAGATGGATGACTAAAATTTCATTACCCGAAGAAGCATTGTTCTGCTACAGAGAAATAAAAACAAACAATAGCCTACGCAAAACAGCTAAACAAAAATATCCTTGTACAACCAATCTCCCAATCAAAAAGTAGCAACGGAAAACCAAAACAATATAAACAGATCGATATAACATATTCATATTCACAACATCAACAACAAATAGCTACAAGCAACAACTCAGTCACCTAATACTATAGTCCCTACAAACTGCAGCATTAAGCTCTACTCCACTAATTGTCGTTCCCATCAGGCGAAAGCATACATCCTCCATTATCCTCCTAACCAACTCCCCTTGCTACTCCTACCAAAAACCTTGCAGTTATAAATGTAAGCTTTCCAAGCAAGCTTAAGCAAAGTATGAAGGAAAGACCTACCCTTAAGTTCCACCACAGCCCATGCTACCTGATATGGCTCCGATTCTGATGTTATCGAATCATATGATATTGCTCGATCGTGATTCTAGTAAGTATTTGAACTTGCTTGCGTAGAACCTGACATTGTAACTTGTAAAATGATAAAGAAAGGAATTTAAATGATGACGAAGAATTGATGATGTGATGGTTATACCGATTTGGAAATAGTGTTGAAGGTGATGGAAGTTGTAGTTTGATAAAAAGGATGTTAAAACTCAAGGCCGGCACCGCACAATGGATTGGAAATTCAAAGGTAGGCACCGAATGGTGCATAGTTCAAAGGTTGGTTAATTTTTGTTGAAAAATGGTAAATGGCATAATTGTATTTTAGTAATTGTAATTTAGGATATTTACAAGATTAGTCCTTAAGCTTCAACTATAAATACCCTAACCCATTTAGCTTCAAAATCATCCCAAATCATATCTTTCTTCCAATACTAGAGAGCTTTCTTGTGAGTTGTGAGTGTTTTGTAAACAACACCTGTAAATTTTCTCTCTTTAGTAAAAGATTTGCAGCAGTCCGGAGACGTAGGCAAAATTGGTTGAACTCCGTTATCAATTTCGGGTATTATTTTTCCTCTTTTATTTCACATTCTCACTAATATGGTTATAGGGAAATTACTCGATTATTTCCCAACAACTGGCATCAGAGCTTTTGGTGGTGAATTTTGTCGGTTTTTCTGTGAGGTTACTATTCACGTGAATAGTGAATTTTGTGAATAGTAAAATTTGGTCGGCGATACGAGTTTGTCGATGGAGGTGTTCTAATACACGGTGGTTCGCAGAAATTGTCTGAAACTATCCAAAGAAGTCATATTCGAGTGGGAGCGATGGCTGCAGACGAAGGGAATGTGATAATTGAGAAGTTCGATGGTGCATACTTTGGCTTTTAGAATATGCAAATTGAAGATTTTCTGTACCAGAAAAATTTATATCAACCTCTCTCAGGAAAGCAACCAGAGGGCATGAAGAATGAAGATTGGGCTCTTCTCGATAGACAAGCCCTCAGAGTTATCCGACTGACGTTATCCCGCAATGTTGATTTCAACATAGCAAAGAAAAAGACCATGGTGGGTCTTATGGCGGCTCTCTCCAATATGTATGAGAAACCATCGACCTCAAACAAAGTTCACTTGATGAGGTGATTATTCAATTTGCGCATGGCAGAAGGGACAACAGTGGCTCAACACCTAAATGAACTCAACACAATCACAACCCAGTTTAGTTCCGTGAAAATTGAATTCGATGATGAAGTTCGAGCTTTAATTCTCTTATCATCTCTACCGGACAGTTGGAATGCTACTGTTACTGGTTACTGTTTATCTGATAAGTGATAGTAAATGAATATATATAAGGGAAAAAGGTAATTGAAGAACTAAAGGAAGGAAAGATTAAGTAAATGAGGCAACATAAGAATATTAGAAGATATGTTTTTACTAATGTGTGCAATGAAAATTCGAGGACGAATTTTCTTAAAAAGATGAGAGATTTGTAACATCACAAACTATGGGTTAGTGATTAAATTGTAAAACTTTAGAATGTGGTGATTAAAGTAGGATATTTGAATAGTTCAATGAGTTATTCAGAAATATTTCCTGAAGGCTTTAGTAATTATTAAAGGAATCAAAGGGCAAAATGGTCATTTAGCATGAAAGATATTTTTCCCTCTTATAAGATAAGGGAACCACGTAGGGAAATGAAAGATTTCTCCAGAGTTTTCTTCTTCCTTCTCCCAACCGTGGACTTCAACTTGCAAAGGTAAGATTTCTTAATAGTTTATTATTAGTTGAAATTTAAGTTGGGTTTCGATCATTAAATAATAACTAAGCTTAGGGAAAGCTTAAGTTATCTTAAAATCAAAAGATGATGGAATTATGAGAGATTAAAGATTATGAGTTCTTGAATGAAATCTTGATATAGAGTTGATAATTAGAATTGAAAGTTGAATTTGACTTGTCATCAATCTAAATAAGGAATATGAAGTGTTAGAATGAGATTTGGAACATGTTGATATTTGCATATGATTCTTGAATGCCATATAAAGGATATGATTAGGAGGTTAAAGAAGTGATTATTGAGTAAAAATAAGTGTAAATGTGTATATGAAAGTTATGAATATTAAAGAAGGTGAAATATAAAGTGTTGAGAGTAAAATAAAGGGATTTTCGTGTTCAAAATGACATTTCTGGGTTGTGTGCATCGGTACATCTTCAATGGGTACCGATGCACTCTCATATAAATAAACATCAAATGCAATTAGTGCATCGATGCATAAGGAGTGCATTGATACATCCCCTTAAGAAGAAAACATCGAATGTAAATGGTGTATCGATGCACAGGTAGTGCATCAATGCACACGTTAAGGAATGCATCGATACACTGTAGAGTGCATCGATGTATACCTTCATTAAAAGATGAAAATAGTCTTTCTTTTAGTCCAAGAAGTGATAGTTTAGAAGATATCAATTAGTATATTGATACGTATCAATGTATTACTATGTAGGTTTAGAACGTAATCCTGTTCCGGAACAATCGAAGAATTAGGATCGAACCAAATCAAGTCTAAGGTGAGTGCACAGTGTATTGTATATGGCGATTCATGGAAATAAGACTTGTGTTAAGTCTATTTCATATATTATAATGCATGAATTAATGAATATAAGCATGTGGTTGGCATAAATATATGTGTTATATGTTATGATATGTATGGATATATGTTAGAGTAGTAAATCATATGAATATATATATATATATATATATAATATATTATATATATATATATATTATATATATATATATATATATATATATATATATATATATATATATTATATATAATATATATAATTCATGTGATTAGATAAGAAGATGATATAGGTTATGATCATGAACTATGTAGATAATAAAGATTTAAGTAATAACAAGAGAAAGTGGTATACACTTGGTGGTATAAAGACCCAGAATTATATGGACATGTAATATAGGTTAGGTAATGAGGAATTATGGGTCTATATGACTAGGAGAAGATATAAGAACCATGGGTAGAATATATAATAAGTGTACACAAACTCTAGGGAATATTATAAGTAGAAGGGAACTATATGACATATAGTATATTGTAGGGCAATGATTTATGTGAAATATTATAACCAAGTATAAGTTATGTAAGTTAGATTCTATGTAACTAATATAATGGACTCATATGATTAAATGAAGACTGAAATAAGTTGAGTAACATTGTTGTATATATATATGATAGAAAATGAGAATCATATATAACTAAGAAACACTGGCATAAGTTATTATACTAACATTTAATAGTAGTTATATAAGAATTATATAGGAAATCATATGTGAATATAGGTTTAGATAATAAAATATGTGAGGTTGAATTAAGTATATATGGAATTAGTATAAACTTTGTATGTTGTAAGGGATTATGCAAATCGGTAAGATAAGTTATATGGTATTGATATAAGGGTATATGCATAAAATTATATGAGATGAGTTGTGAAGCTATGTGATATGTTATGAGAAATGACCTATGTGAATACATGAGCTTATATGAATTAGTGATGTGAATGTTATGTGAAAAGTTATGTGGCTATGTGAAGATATGTAATGGTATAAAAGATAATGCCCATGTTATGTGATATGAGAGCTAGGGGTATAGTTGGCATGCCAAGAGTCGAGGGATTATCAGTGGTCCTTCGAGACAAACAGTGGTCCTTCGGGACATAGTGGTTCTTCGGAACAATCAGTGGTCCTTCGGGACATAGTGGTCCTTTGGGACAAATATTCAGTGCCCCTTGAGGGAATTATATGAGCTGTGGTGATAG